ACTATTATACTAGTAACTTTAAAAGATATATTTTTTGTACAGTATCCTTGGTTTATGGCCAAGACATTAGGTCCTTGGAAGTTTTCTAACAGCAGGCTTCAATGACAAGAATCAAAATAAATTTGTGTAATTGTAAATAAAATCAAACTAGAGGAAAGTAATGATTTAAGGTAACACGTAACTTTGATTCACAACATATGAAACATTGCCACCTCACACTTTGTCACTGAAGTTTATGAAGAACTGAGCCCAGACAGGTTTGTGGCATTTTTTCCTTTTTCATTCTTTGTCATCCACTACAATGAATGACAAACTGTACGTAAGAGGGTTGAAGATGTTAATGTAAGAGATTATTTCGCACTAGTATCATGATATATTTCACTCTTCAACTCAAACCTATTTTCACTGTTTGGTCCCCTAGAGCTGAAATAGATCATAGGTTGAAACACCCTTGTGTTGGTCTATCATTGAAACTAATTTCCTTGTTTTCTCACAAAACACGTATTTGCAGTGCATTGTTCCCATATTGCATGTGCTACTGTGCTACCCTTCAGGTGGGACCGCTCAGTCTGTTACTCTGATTTCTCAACATGCAGATCCAAGAAACAGAAGAATGCAGTGAATAAACCAAAAATAAATTCCCGGGCGCCTGGGTGGCTCAGTGGGTTAAGCCGCTGCCTTCAGCTCAGGTCATGATCTCAGGGTCCTGGGATCGAGTCCCGCATCGGGCTCTCTGCTCAGCAGGGAGCCTGCTTCCCTCTCTCTCTCTCTCTCTCTCTGCCTGCCTCTCCATCTACTTGTGATCTCTCTCTGTCAAATAAATAAATAAAATCTTTTAAAAAAATAAATAAATAAATTCCCACCTATCTGTAATTTCTCATCTACTCTTTTTGTCCTTCACAAACCCAAGTGATACTTAAACAAAAATAACATTTATTCTGGGGTGCCTGGGTGGCTCAGTTGGTTAAGCATCTACCTTCAGCTCAGGTCAAGCATGTATCAGGGTTATGGGGTGGAGCCCCACATCGGTCTCCCTGCTCGGCGAGGAGCTTGCTTCTCCCTCTCCCTCTGCTGCTCCCTCTACTTCTCTCTGTCTCTCTCTCTGTGAAATAAATAAATAAAATCTTTAAAAAAAAATGCTTATTCCTTTCTCTCTGGTTGGAAATAACAATGGGCTAGGCACTCTCTCCTGCAGAGCAAAACGGAGAAGCAAACGTTGATCTCTGGTGCAGTGTCTTAGGGGCACAGCTAAAATGAAAATCAGAGTATCTGGACTCTTGATTTTGTGGGATTATAGATTGCTTTGTTGTTGGGGATATTAAAAAGTTGAAACAGGAGTCCACCTAACCGATCCCAGCCTGACTGACAAGCAGTGAGCATGGCCTCGCTCCTTCAGGATTTGAGAGACTAACCGTGCCGTTTGATGTGAGGCATAGCCCAGAAGCCAAATGAGAGAAGGATGATTGGTACGGGGTTCACACCCACCAGGCAGCAGCATCACTTTGAAGGTTTTCAGTTGATTTTATTGTTGATGAAAATCAAATTGCCATGAAATCAGAAAGGATTTACTGAAGTAGCCATCACCAAATACAGAAGATAGATTATAAAATAGAAACTGCACATGATATTAGCACATCAAAGAGAGAGAGGCTAGCCTAGAGAATTATCACACATTTTCAAATAAAACTCTACCAAACAGCACTTTATTTTTTAATATAGAGTCACCAGCATGTTCTAAGACTGCGTTCCATACTTTCAACCAAGCTTATTAATAGAAATGCCAGAATACCTGTCATTACAACATAATTGATTTGCAACATGTCTATTTGTGATTTCCATTTAAGGATAATGAAGGTAGGCAAGAAATTTGCTTTAAACCTTTCCTGCTGTTTCCTCTTTCTTATCTGGGTGTGCTCAGCTTTTGTCTGATCTTCTCTAACCTCTCAAACCCTTTTTCTTGAAGATAATATGTTTGTTTCTCACTCTTTTCAAAGATAAGCCTGTAGACCACTGCTTCCTCTGTTCTCCCTCACTAATCTCTGCCATCAGCATCACTAAAAATAGCAACACTCTATCCGAAGCTACAGTAAGTTACCCCTGAAGATTGCTCAGAAGCAAATGCTGGGGGGGGAAGCAACTGCTAGAGAAGCAGGCAGCTGTGTGGTTATTTAGAACTGGCTGGCCATATGGTGTATGAGGGACTCAGACTTTAAAGAAATTTCTGAACTGCCAGTTAATTTCCTGAGATATTTTGAAATATTGCAAACATACTGTATATATTACTTTCTAATTTTCTCTATGAATATCTTTATCATCATTAAGTAAAAGTTAGCTTCTGTTCAAGCATTCCTGGATTGTTCTAAGTAACATATGAGTTCACATACTCAGTGATCTGACCAGTATGGGACTAAAATATTGAATATAAGGTAGGATTTTGCTACTGATATTCCCTTGAATATCACCACATCTCATTTTGTTTTGGTTTTTGTTTTCTCTCTCTGCTCACAGAGTTATTGCCTAGGTGTAGCTAAAAGAAAAGGAAGGTTTCCCCCAAACCCACCAAAACCAAAACAAGACAAATAAAAACATTGAAATTGTTAGAATCTTCTTAATACACCAAACCACTAGAACTATTTTCTGTATTATGCAATTTTATAATGATCTTACAACAAATCCTAAAACTTCATGCTTTTCTAAGGTTGAAAAAGTCTTATTAGATTTGTAAAACTAAAATTCAATGAGAATGTCACTCTTAACTCTTCTTTTTAAAGAAAGCATTAAACAGATCAGGATGTCTAATTAAATTATAAGTTTTGTGAGGGATCGACTCATGTCTATACTTATTTTCTACATAGCATAATATGTAATCTACAGTTGAGCACATAGCAGATGTGTAAGAAAGGCTTTTGCATAGTTATTTCATCCTGATTTAGATAACTATCCAAATGTCTCCTATTTATCATGAAACAAAGATTGTAATAGCAGAGCCAACACAGAAGAACAATCTGTATTATTTTAATACATAAAAATTATTAAAATGTGTTTATTCACTTATTTATTGTCTGTCTTTCCCATTGGGTTATAAACTCTAGGAGAAGAAAAATTTTTGTCATATTCATTATCATAAACTAGAACTACAGGTGACACAGTGTAACATAGCAATAAATACTCCTGCAATTAATGCATGAATATATTCCTGTGTGGCTGTACAAATACGTATGTGCTGACACTGAAGAATCAGATAAGTTTTATTTATTTGTTAGAAGGACAAAATCACATATAAAATCTTCCTTCCTGATCAGATCATGCAGAAGAGGTGAAATAGCAGCCCAGTGATCAATATTTTACCAAGGATTTATTTTTATTTTAATCAAATGTTTCCTAAGGTAGACTTTTGCATATTAATGTCTGTGGCTTTATTTCAGCTGTGTGCCCACCACCCTTGGCAGGTAAGGTCTTATTTAGATTCTATAAAATGTAGTTTATAGTACAATACATTATGATGATGATGATGATGATGTTTTCATTTTCTTTCATTTTGTAAAGGAACAATGAAAATGCTTGAAGCAAAGACAAACTGATTGATTGCCCAGAAAGTAATCAGTGAGAAACTTGAGTTTAAGTAACAGCTAATATCACTAAATTAAAGCTAATGGAAACTTAATAGAACTAAATTTGTTTCCAACCAGATTTTCAAATACTTATGCTGGTTCCTAACATGCTCACAAGGAAAAAGAAATCCAATGTAAAGTTCTGTGAACAGAAAAAAAAAATTCCAAATATATGGGAATAAACAATAAGCACCCATTTGCTTTGGAAGATACGGGAGTGCCTATACAGATGCTCTGGGTGTGTGAAACTCACTACTTTATTTCTCTGGCTGGTAGAAGTTTACAGTTTAATGAATTAACTGTAGAAATAGAAAATTTCAACAAACTATGGTAAGTGATCGGAGGATTAACCTATCACAGGAGTTTCAGAAAAGCCCCGTTGGGGAGATGATGCCTGATCTAAATCTTAAAAAGGTGTGTAGAATAAAAAAAAAAACAAAAAACAAAAAACATACAGTATGAAGTGCACAGTGTAATACTATGAGATATCTGTTCAGTGACATTTCCCACTGTAATTTTCTTCAAGATTTCACATTAACAGTTAAAAGAGAGAATATCTAAACAATTTCCTATGTGATTCCCATAGTCAGAAATAAATGTTTGAATATTTTATTTTCTGTGGTAACATATTGAATCAGAAAAGCATGGCCTGGTCAAATAGGACCACCTCGATACATCCACCCTTTCTCAATGAATTTTAAAAGTCCTTTATGAATACATCTCTAAAAATGGTTGTTATTTTCCAAAACAATGAATTCTAACACAGAAAAAATTGCTATCACTTTATAAAATGGGAAAATGATGTAGTTCAGATGTGAAATAAATCATTTCAAACATCAAACTTCATATATTTCTTAGCTTATTTGTTCTTTTGAGGTCAGGTGAATGGTTAAACATCACTGAAACATTTCAGAAAATAAGTGGAATTCTCTTAGATTTGCAGATAAGTATTTGAAATTGCTTTGGGTAGGAAGATCAGAGTGAAATGGAGCATAGAGGAAAAAAAGAGAGAATGATACAATGGATGTGATTAGGTGACATAGTTGAAGAGAGAAAAGGGATGCAGACAGGGAATTAAAGAAAATGAGCATAGACCTATAGGAATATCCTACAGAGGACACAGAAAAAGTAAGGAGAGTTGGCAACAACCTACACAAAGGACTAAAGAGAATAAAGATACAAAATTACATGTTCTGGGGCAGAAAAAAAAAGGGGGTAATTGATTTTTATGAAAATAGAGGAATTGACTGAGAGTGCAACAAGGTGGCCCCAGAAGGTGAAAATCGTGGGAAACAATGGGAGAACAGTGCAGATGTGCTTGTAAATTTGGCCCTGACTACTACAGGTAACCTCCTATATGTGTTAAAAATCAAAATCAAAGTTCTGTACCTTTGCTTTATCTCTCATTGATCCTTTGCCCAGGATAGACATTTTAGCACCTGTTTCTTCCTGTAGTCTCTTCAAGGAGTTTCCTCTTGGTCCGAGCAATTTCCCCACAAAATTGAACTAGGAAACAAAATCAATAGAGTATTGTTTTAGAGTGGGAAAAAGTAATAATTTGCACCCAAAATAAATGATGGGTAATGGGCTTTTCAAACTTTACCATGCAGAAGAGAGTTATGCCATTCACACAACAGACACAAGCATGAGACTATTTTGGACCTCTAATCTAGGATCCATTTTAAAAAGGAGGCCTCTTCCTAGAGGATTGCCAAGATCAATAATATGTTGAACATGTCATATATGTTACTTACATAATCAAATAAATAAATCACTTGTAAGAGAGAAATCAGGGAGAACTATGGTTTACAAAATTGCTAAAAGTTTTTTCTCTCCAGATTACTGAAAACACACACACACACACACACACACACACACACACACCAATTATGCTGGACTACGCACCTCCAAAATTGCAAAGGTTAATTTTAAATAGATTTTTAAGATTTCATTTATTTATTTTTGCAAGAGAGAGTGAGTGAGAGACAGAAGCAGACTTCCCAGTGAGCAGGCAGCCCGATGTGGGGCTCGATCCCAGGACTCTGGGATCATGACCTGAGCCAAAGGAGACACTTAACTGACTGAGCCACCCAGGTGTCCCTTAAATAGATTTTTTGAATAAAAGTTAATATTCAGGGGCGCCTGGGTGGCTCAGTGGGTTAAAGCCTCTGCCTTCGGCTCAGGTCATGATCCCAGAGTCCTGGGATCGAGCCCCACATCGGGCTCTCTGCTCAGCCGGAAGCCGGCTTCCTCCTCTCTCTCTCTCTCTGCCTGCCTCACTGCCTACTGGTGATCTCTGCCTGTCAAATAAATAAACAAAATCTTTAAAAAAAAAAAAAAGTTAATATTCATTTTTGTTGAGTATTATCAGTGCCCGTAACATTCTATCCCAAGTTTCATGATTAGGCATAATGCGATTCAATTATTCTTCAATCTTACATTCTCTATGTAAAAGAGTTGTTCTAAGGATCAGCAAATAAAAGATATGATCGCATATTCAACAAAAGATGCGATCACATATGCAGAAAACTTATAAACACTGCTGATACCACGTAATACAAAACAGCTTCTCTAAATGGGAGATTCCGCGAGGTTTTTCAGTTTGCTCATTCATCCTGAAACATGGCTAAAAACAGATGAAATAAGAGCAGTTATGGGAGTATGTTGTCAGCTACTGAATGGAACATTACCACAACAAACAACTTGGATAATCATTCACTGATTAATTTAAAAAATACAAAGGGCTTATAGAATGCACCAAAAGCTGTGTTGGGTAAATGAAAAACAAAGATAAATAAAATTAAGTTGCTGTCTTCTAAATCAGAGGTTTTCTATATACATATTTTAAATCTATAGTCCTGTAGTAAGAAATACACCATACTGAATGGTTGAAGACTAATTGCTTTTCCTCTAAATCTAGGATAAATTCAAGGATGTCTGCTGTCACGACATTTATTTAATTTTGTACTGAAGTGTAGATTGCTGTACCTATAGGCAAATAGATAAATGGAATATTATAAAGGTCATAAAGACTATACACTGAGAAGGTAAATTGATTTTCAACGAATTGCATAAGTAGTAAAATCTGAAATGCAAATCTTTTTAGTAAATGAATCTAGAACAATTGGATATTTATATGCAACAAACAAAAGCCCAAAACAAAACAAACACTAAAAAACCTTTTCTGTCCTATCTCACATTTAGGCAAACTTTATCTTGAGATCTATCCAAGATCTGAACATAAAAACAAAATGTTAAGAATGCTAGTTAGAAAGCATAGAAGGATGCCTTTGCAAATTTTAAACTGAGGAAAATTTACTTAATAGTAAGCAAACAGCATTCACTAAAACTTTTGCTGATCCAAAAACCATTAAGAAATTAAATAGATAAGTCACAGACCGGGAGAATATAATCCCCATGCATACATCTGAAAAATGATTAGTATCTTAAATCTAACACTGTATGTTAACTAACTGGAATTTAAAAAAAAAAATTAATGATTAGTATCTAGAGCTATAAAAAACTCTATCAAGTCAATATTAAACATACACATATCAGAATTACTAAAACAAAACCAAAAAAAGACCAAATAATGAGGATGTGGAACTAATACAGCAGCCACTGTTAGCAGTTTAAAATAATATAACTGTCTTGGAAAGATTGACAGTTATTTATAAAGTTAAACATTGAGTTCCACTATGACCCAGAAATTCTATTTGGGTATTTAACTAAGGGATATAAAAGCATATGTTCACAAAATTACTTGTACAAGAATGTCTTTACTCACAATAACCATTAAACTAGAAATAAACCAATGCCCATCCAAGGGGAAAAAATCAATACATTTATACATAAATTGAAAGAATTAGTCATTGATTAACATAACATCATGGATGTATCTCACAATTATGTTGAGTGAAAGATGCCAGATACAAAAAAAAAATGTATCATGTTAGATTCCACTATTATAAAATTCTAGAGGCCAAAATAATATATGCTGTTAGAATTCCTAAGAGTGGCCGCCTGTGGATAATAGAAGGCCAGGACTGGACTGGCTGGAAAGTGGCATGAAGGAATCAACTGGCATGTTAGAATTGTTCTCTATTTTGCTGAAAGTATAGGTAAATTTTTGTCAAAACTCATCAGATCATGGACTAAAACCTATACATTTCACAGTATGTAAATTGCACTTCAATTAAAAATGGAGGGGAAATCAGAAGGATGAAAACATATAAATATTTTAAAAATAATATCATAATGAAATGTCCTACAAGGAAATACTAATCCCAGGTAGTCGCTCCAATCTAGGCAGATGTTCAAGCAGTCATCGAGAAGATGTGATTGCCCATTGACCCCACCACCTAGATTTTGGCAACCAGAGGCTCTTTACCCCCTTGCTTGTCCTTGGAATTTATGTTCTGCCCACTGATCCCACAGTAGGATCCACTTCAGTGACACAGCCTTGAGAAAGAGTGATGTGTTATGGAACCGTCTGGACTGTGTACATGACTGAACCTCATTAAGGTCCTTATATAATCTCTTAAGGTACTGGTGGGCAGGTCCTGAGATATACTCATTTTGCAGCTGCCCAAGACAAGACTCATCTATAAGTTCCCTTGCTTATTAAGCCTTTCAGCTACCAATCTGGAGTGGCCTGCCTCTTTCTTCAGTTTGTTCTTGCCCTCTGTTTATGGGGGCTAGGTCTGAAATTCACCCAGGAAATTCCTGAGGTTGTGAGCTAATAGCAGACTATTCAGAGAAAGATATGGGGAAATAGCCCTCTACTCAGTTAGCAGGCTAATATAACCTTCATAGTAAAAGCAAACCAGAAAAGAGAATTTAAAGAGCAAATCCACTCATGAAACAAAACCCACTTAACAAAATAGTAGCACAACCAAGGCCTGCTGTATATACAAAAAATATATAATGACTGAGTCATGTTTATCACAGATACATGGGTAGGTTAAGATTTATAACCCCTAATTGTAACTAACCTACTAACAATGGAGAAAACAAGGTGAACATTTTATTTGGACAGAAAAAAGGCTAACATTTTATTTCAAAAGAAAAATAATTTTATGAAGTTCAATTTCAATCATTATAAAACTCACATCATCTGAAGAACGAAGGAAACTTTCTTAAACCAATAGAAGCTTTCTATTAAAACCCAATAAGAATTTTATATTTCATAGTAAAGTAATACCAAAAAAAAGGTAAAGGTGCACATTCTTGTTTTATTCCCTATTGAAGATTTAAGTCACCTAATGAGATAAATGTTATAAGTGTCAGAAAGTAAGAAACAAAATACCAGTCAAGGTTTATATAATTTATATACATTAAAAAGCTCAAAGTAATTTCAGAAAAGTCATTAGAAATCAGTGAAAGAGCTTAGCAAGGTGTTTTATACAAAATCAATATAAAAAATCAATTGTGTTTTTGTACATCAGCAACATATAATTAGTAATTTAAAAAGGAGAGAGAGACCATTTATGGCATCATTATAAAATAAATAAGATTTTCTAAGAATATATTTAATTGTTTGCAATTAAAACCTTTAGAGAATGTATAAAAATATTCATAAAGCTGTCAAATGGATATAAATAGATTGAGAGACAGATTATATTCATGGACAGGAAGTCTCAATTTCTAGTATTTTCAATATCTATAGGTTCTATACGGTTCTAATAAAAATCACAATAGGATTTGGATTAACTTACCAATTAGTTCTACAGTTTGTATGAAAATGTCGAAGTCCAAAAACAGCCAAAACATTCAGATGCAGAAGAGCAAGTTAAGGACTATGTCTATCACATACAAGGAGTCATTTTAAAGAATCACTATCATTAATTATGTTAGTATGATTATGTATAGTCCTGGAACACAGATAGAAAATAGAGCAATGGGATCCAGAATCCAGAAACAGACTCTTATTTATGTTAAATGATATATGACACGGGGCAGTACAGATCACTAACGTCCCCCTTAAAGATGCCCATGCCCTAATACCCAGGATCTGTAAATATGTTCTCCTACAAAAGGGACTTTGCAACTGTGACAAAATTAGGAATCTTGAGATGAAGAGATTATCCTGGATTATCCAGGTGTGCCCAATGTCCTTATAAATTAAAGAAGAAGGCAACAAAGTCAGAGGTTGGAGTGATGCAAGTGCTGGCTTTGAAGATGGAAGGGAGCGGGAACCAAAGATTAAGGGTAGCTTCTCCAGGCTGGAGGAGTCATGGAACAGATTCTCCCTCAAAGCCTCCAGAAGGAATGCAGCTTTAGTGAGCACCTGAATTTCAGCCCATGAGACCCATTTTAGACTTCTGACCTTCATAACTGTAAAATAACAAATCTGTATTAAGCCACTAAGTTGTTGTGCTGACTATTAAAGAAATAATAGGAATCTAATATACTAAGCCAAGAAGGGACTATCTAATACAGAGCATCATTGGCTATTCATAGTTAAGAATAATGAAATTGCTTCCTACACCATAATAAAAAAAATA